AATAGAGACCCTTTTGTTCGCCTAAACATGTAAGATACGATGCTTTGCAAAACTATGCTTTGTGTAATAGAGATGAGGTTGAAGGCTGCTGCTGACGTCTGTATAATTATGAGAACAGCCTTGCAAGCTCTCTTGAATTCCAGAAAGTTAAGCCACTCAGATAAGCCTTAAAAGGAGAACAGTGAGGAAAGGTCAAAAGAGGAAGACTCCTGATCTTCATCCTACGACCACCAGAAGGCAAAAAGCGACCACCAGTGACTGGAGGCACATGCGCAGAGACACCCGAGAAAGGACACGTAACCCGGAAGTCGGACCACTTAAAAGGGAAGACACGGAAATCGGACATGCGGCAGCCGAAGGAGTAGAGACTCCCCTGCCGCCCAGCGCTGATTTTTTGCTTATTGCTTGCTTGCTGTAATTAATAAAATTTTTACCATATCACTCTCTTGAGTGCGTTCATAACATTATCCACATTGTAACACTCATTTAGAGATGAAGTTACTGGAGTGCTCTTAAGCTTCAAAGGCATGATTCATGGCACTCTTTTTTATCCCCTAACACATGACAATATAGGTAGCCCTATAAAATGGGCATAAAATAGCTATTTGGATGCATAATAGCAAATACATACTAAACCCGGTGAATCGAGTAAAATCTGACGACATAGGAATCACTGGGTGCAGCTTGCAAAGGTGATATTTTATATACTATTCACATAAAACTATTAGCTTGACTAATGAAGTCTACAGAACAAGGAGGTGCTTCCATACATGAACAGCAGAACAAGTGGAAGAAAAAAAAATAAGATAATGTCATGTGCAGGCAATCTTAAAACATTTTTGACTGTTATTTCAAAATCAAATTTCCACAAATAAGGAGAAAAATTTTATTCATTGTGGCACAAAGTTGGAAGGTTAAAATAAAGTAATTTTGTAACCAAGCATAAAATAGTCACTTGAAAAATTATTTAGCTGTGAATAAACACTATTATTTTCCATGTTAAGATAACTTAAGAACACTCAAATTGATTTTTATTAGACTTCTCATATTCACTTCTGAGCTGACACATGCATGAGATTGAGCCCCAAAGGTCACTTCTGAGAAGGTTATGAGTAACTGGAAAGAAGCACTGCAGGATGTAATGATGGCTCATTGCTGATTATTACTGCTGGAGAGTGATAGATACTTTATTCCTGAGGCTAAGAGAGAGATTCTGTAAATAAATTTTTATATCTTGGCAGTGTCAATAGCTGAAACATGATATGATGGAGCTGGTTTTCCCAATAGTATTGTTACTTGATTTTAAGAGAGTGTGGGATGGATGCTGGCAAGACCTGTGTTGGAGGGAGCCCACCGCAGACTTTTCTCCAGGGCCAGCAGAGGATGGCACAGGGTGAGCCCTGGCTCCTGGCACTGCATGGAAATGGCCAAACCCAGTGTGGTGTTCTCCTCCTTCTGCTCACTGCCCTGCCCTAGCCGCTCAGCGCTCTGCTAAAACCTCTGCTTGAATGCCCAACGCAAATGGTGCTGGTCAGCCTGGCTGTGAACACCTCATTCCCCTCATGCCCATGCTTTACTCTCTCCGTCCCCTCTTCTTTTTGGTGCCAACACCAGTTACAACACTAGAGGTTGTTTAAGCCCAGAGAAGAGGTGGCTTGGGGGAGGTTGTGACCAGGTATGGGGCAGCCTCTTCTCCCAGGCAACCAGGACAGGACAAGAGGACACAGCCTCAGGCTGCGCCACAGGAGGTTTAGGTTGGACGGAAGGAGGAATTTCTTCACAAAAGATCTGATTAGACACTGGAATTGCCTGCCCAGAGAAATGGTGGAGTCACCATCTCTAGGGGTGCTCAAGAAATGACTGGACATGGACATTTAATGTCATGATTTATTTGATTTGGTGTTGGGTCAGTGGTGGACTACAATTCAGACGCCTATTCCAACACAGTAATTGTGTGAAAACAAAACACGACAGGCCTCCGGTGAATTACAGCTTTTCTCCAGAGCGAATCGCCGGCTCCGCTGTCCGTCCCGGCCAGCGAGGAGGGGCTAACCAGCTGCCTGCGGCTGCCCACGCTGAGACAGCGCCCTCCCTCCCAGCCCCTTTCACAGCTCCCCGCGCCCCAGCCACACCTCCTCCCTGCGCCTTCACGCGCAGGCGCGGCTCGGCCATGGCGGCGGCTATAGAAGGGCGTCTCGCTCAGTTCCGCGCTGCCCGCAGCGGCGCTGTCGCCGTTCCGCGCCCCGCCGACCCACCGGGAAAGGCCGCGGCTCCGGAGGCCGTCGAGGAACCGCAGGCAGCCGCAGGGTGCCCGGGCAGCGGCGTTCAGGTGACCCCCGAGGCGGGTGGAGAGGGGGCTGCGGCAGCCGGCCGGTGCCTGACGCCGTGTCTCCCCACCGCCTCTGCAGGTCCGTCCTGGCGCGACGGCGGCAGCTCCGGTGTGGGCGCGCCCGCTGTTGCTGAAGGTGTTGCTGTGGTCCGTATTGCTGGCGCTGTTCGCGGAGCTGGAACTCGGGCTGCCCTACTTCGTCCTCTCCCTGCTCTACTGGATGTACGCCGGCACCCGCGGCCCCGCCGAGCGGCGGCCCGGCGAGCTCAGCGCCTACTCCGTCTTCAACCCCGGCTGCGCCGCCATCGCCGGGACGCTGACGGCCGAGCAGCTGGAGCGGGAGCTGCACTACCGCCCCGCCGCGGGCAGGTAGCACCCGGCCCGCCGGGGACTGCGCTGTGCTGGGTCGGCCTCGCAGCCGCCGCCCCGGGGAAGGGCCGGGCCTTGGGGGAATGAAATGGGGTTTGTTCCTATGCAAAAATCCGCCTGAGCCATACTGCTGGACCCGGGTCTTCCGGCGCCGGAGGGTCCCGAATAAAGCCGTAGCAAAGCCTGCACTCTGGTCTCGTTTCCTGGGGCCGGGCAGCTGTTTCGGCCGCTATGGAGCGACCCCGAAAAGCACGGCCTTGTCATAGCTGCGTCTGCCAGCGTGTCAGCTGGAGGGCTTCAAGTCCCAGGAGCTTTGCCACGAGTAACAGAAAGGCTGGCGTTTGACGACGCCTGCAGTAGAAGGGCCCGCTGCTGCTCTCCCCTGCACCGTATGGAAACCACATTCTGAAGAAATTACATGAAGCAATAACCATACACATAAAATAGGCTGCTGCTTTGGTTTGCAGTGGTGTCTTTCATCTAACACAAACATCAGATAATAATTCCCTTTTTGCTTCATATTCCAGGTTTCATAATTGTAAGCCAAAAAATACTTTTTTCTGGCCAGGTGTATTTGTATGATCCACTGCTGTTTTATATGTATTGCATTGAGGCAGACCTGCTTAGCAAAGTGGTACTCACCACTGCTCAAAGCATGTAAAAAAACACATGGATGTGACATTTGAGAACATGTTTCAGTGCTGTACATGGTGGTGATGCTAAGTTGGACTTGATTATCTTAAAGGTCTTTTCCAACCATAACAATTTAATGATTCAGTAAGTCATCATTTTGAAGAGCAGCTGCTAGAACTTGTGTCTCTGAGAACAGAGTTGAGAGGAAAAGTCACAAATTGGTCTTTCAAATCCTATTCCATTATGTCTTTTCTGATTTAACAGTTAAACTCATTGTTAAGGCAACATAAGTTCTATCATTGATTGTAGAAACAAAAGTGGAGCTTTGAATTTATTGGGACTAGTAAGAGAGTAATAGATACACAGCTAAGCATCTTTCAGTAGCTCTCCACAGCACTCTCACAGTTTCTGTCTTGGGCTGTTGTATAAATTCAAAGTCCTGCTACTTAAAGGCAAAAAATTTTGTCATTTGCACATATTCTGTCATCCTCCAGTAAACCCCCCCCCCCCCCCCGAGTTTTCATTATTCTTACTGATTCCTTTTGACTCTGTAACATGCTGCATTTTGGATTTGATTAACATAGGCTCAGCAGGGTCAAAGGCCTCATGGTAGTGGACACATGGTTGCACATATAAAGCGTTGTTTCCGTGGAAGAACCACAGATTGTGAATCTTTCCTTTCTTAAAAAATATTCTAATTGCAGGGTAAGAAATAGCTGGATGATACTCAAAACACTTGTAAACAATGGAATTTTGTGAATTGAAACTTTATTCACAACAATAAACATCAGCATAGTGTTTATGGGGAGTTGATAATCTGATATCTTGTCACAGTTCAGTTCTGTGGGTATTTATTAAAACAAGGAAATACATGCAAATAACTATTAAATATAAGGTAAGATCCATGAAATTATAAAAATTCTTAGCAGCAATGCTGGAAATAAAGTTTTCACTTGCTATAAACTCTAGCTGCATTATGTCCAGGTGGATTTATAGACTCTTGCATTTAATGCTTTATTAAACAAGTATGAAACAACCACAATAAGTGAGCATGAAGTCAAAAGGCACAAAAAATAAAAATTGACACAGTTCATCTGTTCCAGTGCTTTGTGTTGGTTTATTTATTTCATGCTACTCAAATAAATGTACATTACACATTGTAAAATAGAGATGGCATGAATAACAAGGGCTTGCAAAAAGGTTTTACTGAAGTAGATAAAGTATGATGGAGAAATTGGCATTGAGGCCTTGCTAAATCTCTAAATACACAAATACTGTGATTCTGCTTGGTGGTAATTACTTCCACTGAGTTGTTTTGAGAGGGCATTTAAAAAGGTCTGAACAAGTGAGAGCTTAATTAGAGGGGGGGAAAAAAATTTCTCTGCAGCCTTCTGCTTGGCTAAGACCTCACTTAGTTACCTTACTTTTCTCTTGCATTCTAACAAAGCAGAAGTCACCAGGATAAGTTAACTGGAGTTACTCCTGTGGGACCAAAACCCTCAGTTCACAAATGAGCAGGAGGGACAAGAACTTACTAATTCAAAAGCACGTCAAGCTGTTGAATCTTACGACAGTAACTAAGTACAAGTTTGTTACCTCACATGGAAATGCTCTCTATTCCCATGTCTGTCCTCTTTAATTTGTTACACACACTTGTTTGTCCAGCACAGCAGTGAATTAAAACAATTCTGTAACTTCTGTTGTAAAAGCAAAACTATCATCTTGCCAACAGCTGTGCAAGCAGCAGAAATGTTTTTTCCCAGGTTTGCACAAATTAAGCAGGACCAGCATCCACTCTTGAATATTAATTGAGTGAAATTAAGTGAAATTAAGTGCATTAAGCCACAGCTGTAAATTGCATCTGTCACCATGCTGCCCCTTCACCTGCCAGTAACAATCTTTAGTACTTTTTTCCTATTCTTAGCACTTCAGGGTAGACATTAGATAGAAACATCAAGCATACTCTGTATATACAGGAAGATAATTAACTTGTAGGACAGCAGTTAACACCTGCATTTATTAGACAAGTATTGTATTGATGGCCACATAACACAGAAGCTAGTTATTAAATACAGAGAAGAACCTGAAGTGCTTCATTCCAAAGTCAGCTTTGCACTGATGTTGGGGAGGGAAGGCGTGGAAGCAGCCTTCAGAGAAGTTAGCGTGCTGCACATAAGCCAGCCTGAGAACTGGGGTGGATTTCTGCAAACACGCCTTTCTCCTTGGAGTTCAGTTACAAGCATTAGAGCAGAAAAAGGTAACACATCCTCTTTAATTCAATTCTAACCGATTGCAAAACTAATCCATACTGTTGGCAATTAGAATTCTAATACAATAAATACAATAAATAATCCCATGCAAAGCAATCTAGCTTCAGGCAGGAAAGATGCTGAGTTACATCCCAGAATATCCAGTTCACTTTCTTGGCAATAGGGGCTGTGAATGCAAGTGCAAAAATACTTTAAAATAGGGAGGGTTATTTCTGCTGAACAGTTTTAACTGCTTTGCCATGGAAGTTACTTATTTATTTCAAGAAATCTGTGAGCAGGGAGATTCTCAGAGCTCGTCTTTGGCACTTTGCCTCTTTGTTGCAAAGGGAACCCAAGTAAGAGCGGAATAAAGATGTGCAAAGGTTGTTATTAAGTGATGCAACATACCACACCTGCTTCTAAAGGTACTTCGGCTTGTCCTCAGCAACTCTTGTCAACATCAGGCAGGGAACACACTACACAGTGCAGATGTAGTCACTGCACGAGCCCTTGTAATTTTAAGCAGATAGAAAAAGCTCATGGATTTCAGGAATTTTTGTTTGGAGTTGGTTTTGCTTGGGTTTTTTTGGAACGCTGCTGATGGGAAACTAGGAGGCTCTGGAGAAAGGCAGCCGGCCCCGGGCAGGGGGGCGGGAGCTGTCCTCGGTCCTGAACCCGTGCCCTGCACAAGGGCCACCTCCCCATCCGCGAGCGTGGGTACCTTGTGTCACAGAAGAAAAGGACCAAGGCCGGGGAGGGAAACAAAACTGCCAAAACCGAATCTTTGCAAAAAGAAAAGGTCTGCTGAGACCAGCAGCGGCTGTAAGCTGACTGCTTTCTGTGTTTGCACCCACAAGAAGCAGAGTAAAGCTCAGACAGGAAACATTCTCTTGAAAAACAAGCCATCACCCCATCCCTGTGAATGCCTGTGTGCCCACAAGGTGGGCATACTAGCACTGACAGTGGAAGGGCTGTTCATGCAGGGGACATTTCCATCCATGTCAACAGAGATAATGTGCACCTATTCCTTGCAGAGGAGGTTACTAACAGATACTGCATTTTTGTTTTATTTGGGTTTTTATATTTTTTTTAAGTGAAGCTTAAAGGTAGCATTTAGAAGTGCTCACTAACATTACCTGCTGTATATTGATACACCTTCAGGGTGCTGTTTTTCACCTACCCAGAAAATAGATTAGTGTATTTTCAATTTTAACTTTGGGAAACCCCTGCTACAAAACTGATTCTTCCCTGAAATGTAAGTTGTGTCCCACTAAATTATTTTTTTCTAGAAATGGTGATGGCACCTTACCCTATCCCCAGGAAAGTCTTAATTTATTTTTCGGCAATAATCATATTCTATATCCCTGTAATTTAATCAGTCGATCATTCAGCTCACCCACTCAACAGTAATAAGCCATTGACCCTGTGGTTTCAGACTGGATCAATGCTACGCTTAAGTTCTGGACCCCCGGAGGCCTTGTGTGCAAATAGGAAGAAACTCTTTTAACTTACTTTAGATGTGACCAATTTTTCCTCTGATCTGTTGATTACATTAGCAGATTGCTTTCCCTAGGAACTCTGGCCAACAGCCTGCAGTGATGAGCAGCATATGCTTAAGTTTCTTTCTGGAGACAGCAAACTTAAGCCACAAGCTTAAGGTATTTAAGGGTTTTCAGGTATATTAAACATTGTTCTTAGTCTGATTCATCTGCAGAAATCTCAGCTGAACGTGGCCTGACAAGTGGCAGCATAGACACTGCTGCCGACTGTGCCCCCACTACTGATGCTGTTGGCTGGACACTTCAGAGGTTTCATACTGCTGTTTCTCTGGACATAAAAGTGTTCCAATCTCCAGCGCTCCCAGCTTTTCCGAAACTCCATCTGAACCTAACAGAAGCAAAGATGGAAACAAAAGGAATGAATGTAGAACTAATCAGCTCTTTAAATTACTCCATCAGAAAAAAGCAAGGATACCACACTACTGAAAAAAGCTGAAAGTGCTTTAAACCTGCAATATTATCACTTCCAATTATCCAATTATCTTATTAATCCATTGTAGGCCATTCCACATTTACAATAATGATGACATTCATTTTTACTTGTAGAAAAAAAGCTCTTTTATGCACCAGAAAATCTTACCTTCATTATTTTGCCCTAAGTTGTATTCACCTGCAATACTGATTTGCACTCTATGCCCTACCAGTACTAACAATTAAGCTGACTTTGCTTATCAGCCATGAAACAGATGAGAAGACTAGCTTTCTGCTCAATATTGCACCACAGGTATTCTTAAGAGTTCTGACTTCTGGTTTGATTTAAACATTATTTTTGTTCTCTGAATATTTATGCAGGTTCTTTATATTTCATACAAAACCAAATGTTTATTCAGAACTGAAAACAACAATTAAGCAAGTTAGAGACTGTGCTTGTCCCACCTTAAACAGCAATTACAGTATCTCATTCCAGATACCAGCTTTTCTTAAAGCTACAATGTATGCTCATCTAGTCACAGGTTCTGAGTTAAGACTCTGTAATCTCTACACTGGTTTGGAACTTTATCCAGGATTTCGTAACTGCTAAACAAGAACAGAATTAGATCTTCCCGCTCCATACGCAAAGTTCTTGCCACTTGATTGAATTAAGAACCTCCATTAGCTTTTAACATATAAGGCAGAGGACATAAAATTCCACACTTGTTACTCTACATAAAGGCAGGAGTGCAACCACAATAATAAGTTCATTATGGTGTGTACTTCAGCCTGGAAATAAGTTCACTGTAGATGGGTCACTTAAAGGAGCCTTCTCTGGAGAGATGCTTTTTCTTTTATTTTAAGTTCTCATACTGGCTACCAAAAGACTAAGTAGGTTGATGGCACAGTTTGAGCACAGGTTTGTCATCATGTCCAGGCTGTTGAAACCTTCATATTCTGAGGGAAACTTCCTAGGGAACCAGCTGCTGTATGTCTGCTTTCTTTGCTTGTTCACTGTGAAATACTGAATTTGAGAGGCTGTCCTAAAAAAGGTGCAAAACCTTACAAAATGAATTGTCTTCCCCTGGTGCTTGTCAGTGCTTGTCAGCTCTGGGCTACAGCCCTTGTACTGAATATCCTGGTGGAACCAGCTGCATCTCTGTGTTTCTGACAATCTGTCAGAATCCAGAGTCTGACCTCCACTGTCACAACCAAATCAGTCAGAAGATGCTGAAACAGATGCTTGTATTTTACCATGGTAGGGGGGTTGGTTGTGTCAAAAGGTGCACAAAGACACTAGAGAAAGACAGTATGTCTGGGATAGCTTGGCATAGAAGAATGAGGGAGAATGGTCAGATAATGGCAGAAATCCAGGAACCATAGTGTCTGCAGGAAAAGAATTTACCGTATCACCACTCCAGTATTTGGCACCTTTTGTGTGCATGGAAAACAATAAGGCAGCACTGGGAAAAAGCTGTTGTAGGCATTTACTGGCAAATCATGAATGAAAGTATGACCATAGTGACTGAGAGTAAGTCAATGAGTGATAGAAATAGGTACTTTAGGTCAGCCAAGGGGAGAAAATAAGTTTTTACTCCAGCTGGACATGACAGGCTTGAGCTATGATACAAATAGCCTGCAAAACTGAGATAAAGTGAATGGAAGACCTGAACAAAAGACTGTAGGAATGCATCTATCTTAGGAATGGATATGACTGGCATAATATCAGTTTTTCTCTCCAGGAGTTAGGAAGAGGGTAGGGAGCAGCTCTGCTGCCTGTGTTGAATTGACCTTTCACCCAGATGGCTTTGAATGTATAAGCAAGGGAATTGGTTAAGATTTATTTTGCAGAGGCAGTTCCTGAGCACAGAAGTAGATCTACAGATCCTTCAGCAAAGTAATTATCCTAGTAGCTTCCCTGTGTTGATAAGATTCCTCAGAAATTAGCCATACAGGAAAAAGGATACCAAGAACAAAGCTTCCATGATGTGCTGATTTTGGATGGTGGAGTTAATTTTCTTCATAGCAGCTAGTATGGTGCTGTGTTTTTTACTATTTCTGCTGGAATTGTGTTGGTAATACAAAGATGCTTTTGTTATTGCTGAACAGGGCTGGCACAGTGCCAAGGCCTTTTCAGCTTCTCATACCACCCTGACAGCAGGCAGGTTGGAGGTGTGCAAGAAGTTGGGAGACACCTGCCTGCCAGTGGGAAGTAGTAAATTAATTCCCTATTTTGCTTTGCTTTGCTTTACCTATTTAATTGTCTTTATCTCAATCCAAGAGTTTTTTCACTTTTATTCTTTCAATTCTCTTCCCCAGCCCACCAAAGTGGAGTGACCGAACGGCTGTGCAGTGTGTAGTTGCTGTCTGAGGTTAAACCATGACATGTGAGAAAGGGGAAGGAAAAATTTTTATGCAGAGTATTTTAAAAGAGAAAAGAAAGAAAGAAATGGGAGAACTTGAAAAAGATGGTCATGGAGGTTAAAGAAGAGAGAAGATCTCTCACAGAGAGCTCTTGATTGAGCTTTATGCAGCTGATGGGGAAGGAAGTTTACAGTGTGGCAATGGATCTGGAATCTAATTATGAAAAGCGCTAAATTTTGGCAAAAAAAATCTCAGCAAGTGATAGTGAAAGAAGGTAAGTCTAAAGTGAGATGGAATTAAGGTGATGGAAGAGTTTAATTAATGGTCTGTATAGAGAATGAAAAGAAATTAAAAGCAAAAGGGAGGATTGGGTAGTATTTCAAGAACTCAGGAGTCCTGGCATCAGGACAGATTCTTTGAAGTAGAAGAGACTGAATAATACTTCCATTGTGACAAGAATGCAAAAAGCAAAACCAAGGCTACAGACAATGAAATCTGAACCATCTTCAGCTAAATGGTGGAAAAAGGCAGCATCTCTGTGGTTTAAAATATTTCTTATAGAAAGCAGCACTAACAGAAGAAAAACTGGTCATATTAAGCCTAGCTCATTTTGCAAACAACATTGGTGGTAACAGGGAATCTCATGAGATCCTACTGTTGGCTTCAGAGCAAGTTCGGAGAAAATCCAGAATCTTTCAGGCAAAATAAGACTGAAATATGAACAAATTATATATTTTTTTTCAGAAGTAGATATTAAAAAATTAATTAAAAAATTAATATAATTTCTATCTTAACTTCTACTATTGATCTGGGCACCAGGACTTGCAAATAACTTTCATTCTGTATGGTTAAGGAAAAAGAAAAAGGAGTCAATGAGTCAGACAAAAATAAAATGTAGACCACATAGTCTTTGGACACATACAGTGTGTCAGAAGACAGTTTCTCATTTAGCTTAGGAAAAGAATTATTGTATAGTTTAGAAAAGACTTCACTTAAATTCTTTGCAAAGATTTTTTTTTATGGAACCCAAACAGGTTTGGGATTCAGCTGAAGTCACAGAAGATGGTGCTTGCAATCAATTAACTCAAAGCCAAAGGTACATTTCTTCTGGGTGTGTGAGTTTTACCACTCTGTGAAGTTCAGTTTTAATGAGAGAGTAATTATGCTTTTAAGCAGCTGGGCCACAGGGAAACCAGATGAAACCAAACTGTACAGTAATAGCCATGAGGACTCTCCAACTTCACCAGCAAGCTGAGCTGAGTTCATAGAATAAAATGGGCTTCACTCCCACATTCACAAAAAAAGGCAAATAAGAAGCACTGTAAGACAGATTAAGAAGAGCAGCTGTAATTCTTAAAGAATCTACCAGTGCAAACTACACAATTGTAAGCAAGACTATTTGTGAGATTCCACATCTACAAATAGTGACTGTAAATTATACTACCTGAATTCCTTCCAACCACATTTGTCTGATGAGTTATCCCACAGACCTGTGCAGAGGTCTGTAAAAAAAAAAAAGTCCTGAACAAGGACAATTTAGCAGTTCAAGACCATTTTCAATTTCCTTTTCCTATAGTGTATGCTGATAAGGCAAATTGGAACAAATAGTTTCTCTCTTACCTCATTATTAATGAAACAGTAAAGAATCGCAACCATCAGCCCCTGAAATCAAAAACCAGAACAGTGAGCAGAACAGTTTCCTCACTTTTCCAAACTCAGTTGCAAAGGGCTAGAGGATCCACACTGACATGTCTGATAAGACTGAGAGGTGGAAAATCCTTGCTGCCTGTCAATTCTGATGGCAGAGCAGAGGTTTGACCAAACTATGTCTCAAAGCATGTGATCTTAGGAAAAAGGAGTTGTTGTTTTCCTCAATCTGTTATTTTTGTCTAGTGATTTCTTTCCCCTTCTTCCTTACAAAGAAAAGGTTTTAAGTCCTAAACACTTCGTGAGTAATTCACAGTGGTCTTAAATACAGCTCTGTGACTGATAAACAGGGAACGATTGAGTGTGCAGGGAAACAATAATGTTTTCCTTACAAGGAGACTCATTTGAAATGCCTTTACCGAAAGCAACAGTTAAACAAAAATCACAGTAAGTCTACACCCTCCTCACACACAGTTACAGCTAGAGACATTTACCTCTCCCAGCCCAGATTTTCCAAGGAGACTAAGAAACACTGGAGAAAGTACAAAATGTGCTTTCAGCAGTGCCACTGTACAGGAAATCACAATTTTGTTATTGCCCTGAGGTGAACCATGGGAAATAAATATTAATATGTGGACAGGAATATCAGCCTATTGTAGTAAAGTTGGCTGTTAAATATTAGTCCTTACACTTTTTCCCTTTCACTGTCATGATCCTATAACATCCAGAGCTAAACTAAGAAATATAAGGAACAAGGAGCATGCAATGAATGAAAGAGAAAGCAGGACCCCAAATAGCATTTAAAAAATATCTTATGCCCATGGGCACACTGTGAGTGCTACCTGGAATGAAGCAAAGGAGAGCTCAGTAAAAAGCTTCACAAAGCGCAGCATCCCTCTGGCATGCTCATCAGTAATAAAGGCAAAGATGACCTCATGAGTCCCCAACAGTGGGATCAGAGTCAGCGTAGACTTGGCCAACCTAAGATCACAAGAAATTTTAAAAACACAATGCACTGAATAGACCATTTTTGATCCAAATGATCACTGGGAGTCACCATTTCTGCATTCTGTTTCTGACACAGGTTCAACTTCGGTAAGTTGCTGCACCACTTTGTGACACAGGGTCTTCCTCCAGAGGCTGCAGGTTAAAAACTTCCTCAAAATAACCTGAGTAAGTTCCTACAAGTTTTAACCTCCCCTACCACTTGGAGACCATTTATTGGTGAGAGCAAAGCTCTGTATCTGGCTACTGGCTGTATTTCATCTGGAAAATCTTCCAAACTCAGTAAGAAGCCATGTGCTTTCTTGTACCTGTGATGTCATTCCTCTGTGTTCTTTTCTCCACCTGTAATTGGGAAAGAGAACCAAAACCTACCTTCTTGATATCCTGAAAGACATAATCTATCAATAACTGGAATCTTTTAAAAATATCTTGGCAAAGGGAGGAGCACTTGGTATTCCTTTCCACCTCTGTGCTGTGTTAAATCTTCTAAAAATTGTAACTATCTAACTGCAGAACACTTTGTCAAAGCAATCAAACTTTCTTGAAATGAGGATGGCAAGTTCAAAGACACAGCTAGCAAAGGATGAAAGCCAAACCAATCTGAAATAAATTATTATTCACCTGTGAGAGAGCTGAAGGTACACTAGTACAGGAAAAAAATCACAAGAACGATCCTTAATTCCCTTTTGATAGACATACATACCAGCCACCCAACAGGTTAGTGAAAGATGACTGGGGATCATGTGAGAGCTTCCTGGGCCGCAGAACTTACCAACATCTCACAACAATCTGTCTTGAGAAAAGTCACAAGTCACTTTGATGCAAAATCACGCAATTAGAAGGGCTGTCACATCTTTGTAGATCGTGTGTGCCTGAGAGCGATCAGCTGCTATTCTGAGTCATGTAACCATTCAGGTTGGAAGGCACCTCTGGAAGTCTCTAACCCAGGTCCAGCTACAGCAAGTTATTCAAGGCTGTCTCCAGCCAAGTTTTGAGTATCTCCAAAGTCATCCAAAGCTCCTCTGGGCCTCTCTTCCAGCATCAGACCACCATGACTGTGAACTAATTTTCACCTTACATGCAAGGGGAATTTCTCTTGCTATAAGTTGTGACTTCTGCCCTTGTCCTTTCACTGTGATGCTTTGAAAATACTATGTTTTCTGTACACGTGGGCTTGGAATCAAAGCCTCCAGCTCAGACAAGTCCTCATCTTTGCTTTGAACTTTCAAAAAACATTAGTATTTCCAAAATTTCATGTGAGGTAAAGAAGGTAGGTAACATACATGGCAACTCTACAGTGATAAGAATGCACCAAAATACATGCTGTGTCTAGTTTAGAAGGCTGCAGCATCGAAATACCCAATGGCAAAGTAGTTAAATCCAGTGCCAGCAGCAGTACCACAGCATGTAGCTTCACACTTCAAGAGCTAACTTGTTATTCTTACATTGTTTTTCAGACTGTGATACAAAAGTGAAGATGCAGAAATTAAGGATGCAACAATGAATCTTAGCACAGTGATTAAATAACAGGAATAATATAAACATGGATAGACTGAAGGCTGCAAACCAAAAATTGCACATTTCTGTAACAGCCCTGACACCTCTCTGGAAATACCTCGTGCATTCAAGACTGAAAGTTTGTCCCAATAACAACTATTAAGAAGAACAAGGAGCAAAACTCAAAATGATCCTATCTTGTCTTCCTTGAAGTAAAAGCTTTTATTTCTAGCAACTCGAATTATTTTGTTCAAATTGAAATGAGATAGGATACTTCAGCTGGGAGGAACCTACAACAACCACCTGTTCAAAACTTAAAGCACATTCTTAATGGCACCATGCAAATGCCTCTTAAACACTGAGAGTCTTGGGGCATTGATCACCTCTCTAGGAAGGCCTGTTACAGGGTTTTCCCATCCTCCCAGTAAAGAAATGCTTCCTAACATCCAATCCAAACCTCCCCTAGTGCAGCTTTGAACTATTCTCACATATCCTATCCCTGGATACCAGGGAGAAGAGCTTATCACCTCCCTCTCCACTTCTGCTCCTCAGGGGACTGTAGAAGGCAATGAGGTCATCTCTCAGAGCCCTTTGCTCTAAACTAAACTAGTCAGAAGCCCTCACAGGATGTTCCTTCCAGCCCTTACACCAGCTTTGCTGCCTTTCTTTGTGTGATTTCAAGGACTCTAACATTCAGTACTTACATATGCTGCAAGTATTTTTAAAAAATCTGCTTAATTAATATTCATCCAGTTTAATGGAAGACTGTAAAGTGAGAGACATCAAGCCTTCTCTTTATAACACAAGTGAAATACCTGCCCTGGCTGCACTAGACTTTTCTGGGGACTGACTGTCTATGCAGTTACACCAATGTGTGACACCACACTTGTGCATTACTATGGGGCTTGTGCTCTTTAACCACCTTTGTCAACCCACTCCTTTCATATATGTCATTGTCTACTTTTATTCTGATGAGCATGAAAAGTGTCAGACCACCTTAAAATATACCTGCATTTTATGTCAGTTTTGCACATCAAATTAGCCTGCAGTTTGGAGATGATGATGCATATAACTCTGACGAAGATGAGGAAATTCACCTGGAGAAATGAAAGAAGAATTTATATCACTAACAATAAACACATGTCCATAAGTAATCAAAAACAGTGATTCATGTATGCATGTGTAGGTCTGTGTGCATCCTGATATGCAGCAGCTGCAGAATTTACCATGGAGCTCAGCTCCTTGCTAAGGAATTGTGGACTAAATGTGAAGGAAATATGGACTAAATTCAAGCCAGCCTTGAAAACACAGGCACTTCATTACACGAAACAGGGGATCCTACTTACTCTCTGGGGTGTGAGACACAGTGAAGGTGTGGGTTGGCCCATTTGCCTTGTATGGAAGTCTGAGCCTGACACAGTATTGTGTCTGCAGAACATTTCTACACAATACTACACATGTTGCAGTTTTTTTGTGGCCCAGTACCTGAAATAGTATCTGTGGTCTCCTTGAACTACTTTCCATACCTCCTGCTTGGAGGGGAGTTAATGCAACTGTTGCAGAATGCTGTTCAGTTCCCACCTTCTGCCACTACAACATGACAGCTTGTGGCCAAGTTAAAGAAACAAAATGCTAGTCTGGAATTTCAGTGACAGAAACTAACTTGTCTTCATAAAATCACATTTCTGAATGAAAATATAAATAACCTCAAGGGTTATTAGCCTTCGGACATGCGTAATAGCCATGTGTGCATATTTGTACCATATTGTGCTGTTCTCAGGAAAATCTGCTATCTCACAGCATATGTCTCAGACTCACCCCGATGGCAATAAGAATGGGCAGTCTGATGATCAGCCAGTAGTTCATATTATAGTTTCTGGTCCAGCAACTAATAAGAGGACAAAAAGGAGATGAAGGAAAAGTTTCAGTTCATTACTAACATTTCTTGCTTTTTCTGTTCCAGGAATGCATATGGAAAACAGTTTTAAGGGCTAGATACTAGGAAAGCACATCATGCTGACATGGAAACAGATGCAGCTGCTTCTTAGAAATCCTGAATGCTTTGTACTATTGCAGCTATCATAATCCAGCTGGATACTACTCACTGGCCTTTCTTGCCCACTAATGGCTAGCTCTACTCCACAATTTGCTGTGAATTAGCATCCATTAATTGTGAAGATTTACTCCATTAAAACCAAGGTCAAATTTGTCATTTGGATGAAAGGAGAAGGGGAGGAATCTGTTTGAGTCTGATCTTTCAGTTGTCATTCCTAGCCTCCTCATCCTGCACTATTTTTTATTTTTCTTTAGTCTCTAATATCAGATCATCTCATTTAATTGCTTATTAGTTCTTTATCCCATCACTTACCATCATTATTCTCATATCAAAATTGAGATCAGTCATCTATTTTATCTCTCCTTCTTTTGAAAAAGGAGTTACTAATTTCAACCAGGGGAAAGCAATTGCAGCTGCAAACTCCAGCTCCTTCAGTTCACATGCTCAAGGTTTCAGGCCCGCTGGAAGTTTTAAAAATTATAAACAAATAAAATCAAGAACGGGAGCAACACTTCCTAACTTTTGCTGACCTGAGCCCTCTGCCAAGTAAGTAGCATGCTGCAGCAATATAAGACTTCATTTACTACCAGTCTCATTTTACCTTTTAAAATTCCTGTCTCTTTGAGCAATACGGGAGAAAAGTTATAAGAAAAGTCATGGCAGCCACAGTTTGGGATCACTGGGCTGAAGTGAACCTTAAACTGAGGGTTTTTACATCTAGTTCCTTTCCTCTGGCCACAACCATCCACCACCACTATCTGATGGGCTGTATCTGTGTAGGATGGCTCAGGTGTTAGGGCGGCGCTCATGTGCCACTTCCCTTGTTGCTGCAGTGACAGCATTCTTAATATTTCTATGAAAAGACATTTTCAGCCTCTTGCTCAGCATTACTCAAAAGCAACAGTCACCAGTAAAGCCAGAAGTTCCCTGAGCTACACAGGCTAGAAAACAAACTAGGAAACAGCACTACATAAAACATAGGTTCCTTCCCAAAAAAAAAGGTTTTTCTTCATCTCCAAATCTGCCAAATCTGTTCTGCCAAAACATACATATACACAATTTTCCCTAAGACTTCTTAACAGACCTATGAAAATCAGCTTGGGTGACACTGGTGGAGCTGAAACCCGCTCCAGCCTTGTAGTGGGACAGTCTAAGGGAAAAGAACAAACCATGCAGCACCTGGGAGGGATCCATGCTACAAGCACACACCCACATGTGTCACACTATATTAGTAATGGCGAAGCAGTACAACATGACTCTCTTAGCTGCACTGTCCAAGAGAGCAAAGTTTGTTAATCTCCTTTTACACATGTTCGAGAAGGTCCAAGAGGTAAAACTCTGGTCATTCAAGGTACACATCACCATAAGTGGAACAACACCCCTTGACTAAACAACACCGGCAGATTGTTGTCCTTTACCAAGGACTGTTTGAATTCTTTCTCATGCTTTCTCAGGCCAGAGTGAGAAGCCTGTGTGACTTAGTTTCACACAGGCTCTCTTCCCTGCTTGCTTTTTGCATTTAATATCTACACACATGCTCATTTACAAGAGAGGAAAGTGTAGCAGCTTGGCTGTGGAAATTCCACATTTCCTTGCATTGACTGCAAGTTTGAGAAGGGCTCGGGATATAGTTTTTCCTTCAATTTCACGTGTACAAAAAGCATATTATTGCCACCAGCAGCTCTACAGCCTCAAATTGCATTTTAGGTACGAACAAAAAAGGTGTGCAGACTGTGTGCAGTGTACCTGAGCCAGAATCTGAGTTACAGAACTTCTTAACTGGCACATGTGACTGGGAACCAGCTTTGTGGAGACTTTGAATAATTTTATTTGAACACCTCAAGACTGATGGGGTAATAGGCATAGATGGAAGTGGAGTTCTACTTTTCTCATTAGATACAGTAGGAGCAGATGCAATTTAAAAATTTATAATAACAGAGGCTGAGAAACAATTCTTTACATTAACTCTGCTACATTTCTGTGTTAATTTGCTTCCTGTGACACACATCAATTTTAGCTACCTTTAAATTTATACAAATATGTGCAATAACAAAAAAAATTGCAGGTCAATTAAGGTGTCATGGCTATTAAACTCTCCAGAAAATGAAACTGGTAGATCTCTGCATGATTTCTTGTCCATCTGTGCTTTCTGTGATTACGACACTGATAAATCTATACAATATCTATTGTGCTTCAGATCTATCCCTACAGTTTGCTTGGAACCTCTCAGATGATGCTTGGCAACTAATAGCCTCAGAGCCATGAATGGAGCATTTGTCCAGCATAAAAAAAATGCTAGTGGGATGTTTCTGTCTTTGCTTATCAATCCAGTATTCTCCTTCTAAAAGAGAAAATAGTGAATTTTTACCTTGAATTGCTACAGGTGGATGGAAAAAAAGGATTGAAGGCTGACTATTTTGTTCCCATACTTAACTGCAGACAGAAGCAAAAATGTGTAAGCATTAGCTTTTTAGGCACAGTCTAGTAACTAAGAACAACAGCTTGCCTTTAATTGTATTTGTAATCTAGACAAAATATTTTTGAATAGCTCATTTTTAAAAACACTAATTGCATTCTAAAGGAGTTTATACTTGCATATGTAAGGAAAGAAGAAGCTGGTGTGCAACCAACCAAGTCTGGCAGGCTTCAGTCCATTACTCAAATGGCTACATTCACAGGACTGCCTCAGATTCCTAGCCCTGACCACATTTATTTCCAGTTATTCTTCATAGCCAGGGAAGTAGTTAAATCACAAATGAAATTTACAGCCCACTGCATGGTGACAGAGCTATGGCAAACAGCATGAGAGATATCCCTGGCTGCTCCAGCAAATGCCTGCCCAAGGCACAGAAATCTTGCCTTTCAGACCAGCTGCTGCATGTGGTTATTTATTGCTGTATTTTACAAATATTTAAACAAGATTTAGAAAATTCAATAATGTGCAAAATTGCCCCTTAAGGTCTGCTGAAGGTAGTGAATGACAGTTTTCCTTAATAGAAAATATAAATCAGCTCTGAGCACCACATAATGTGGGAGGCACAGCATGAGCACTTTGAATACATTTTCTACATAAATGGGAAGATATGCCCATGGAATGTTGCCTATTCAGAGGCTGCATGGTCTCTACACCTATTCTGATAATTTCAACAAAACCTGCACTACATCAATACAGACAATCTTGCTACAGAATATCATCAAGTCAACCTTGAAAAGGAAATTCAAAAAATCCTAGCATTACTTAAGCTAGAAAAGGAAGCTTTGACTGAACTTGTTCAGTACTAGGAACACACATACACACACAAAAAAAAAGCAAAAACAAAAAAGCAAGCTGGTGCTTAATACTCAGAAACACCAGAAAACTATTTGGAGGTGGCTCTGACTAAACTGAATTTTTATATTGCAGCATCTCTCCAGCAATTATTGTGTTTGGGTAGTTTGATTGGGTAGTTTGGAAACCAAGTAAGAGGAAAACCCATTAAATAATAAATTTAAAATAAAAATTAAAGAGCATAGATTTATTTCTTTTCAAAAAGAAAGCTACCTAAATATTTCTAGTCAGCCACTATCTCTATAAAGAAGAAGCCATTTTCTTCCCTTTAAAAAAAAAAACCAAAACACAACTAAAACCAAAACCAACAAGCTACAGGGCTATTTGTAAAATAGCTATTTATAAAGCATATAAAAATGTAATTTTTTTCAGAGCAGCCACCATGGAAAAATGGACAAAAAATATTTTGTGTTTTACAGCAGTCTTCTGCTTCAGCACAAACTAACATAAGCAAACAGAGAATGTGCTTTTATTTTAGGAAAATCTAAATAATGAGAGCTTAAACAAGAAAAGGCAATCACTTCTCTGGTGCTAGGCATAGGCTAATCACTACAAATTGCAGTCAGAATCCTGTGGGAGGTTGCTGTCTTCTTCTGAAGCAATTGTAAACACTACTGCCAAAAGCACAGTATCATGAGTGATCTTGTTTGGGTAGGATGACTGCTATTGTTGTTACTATAAGTACAGAAATACAAAATATACCTTTCCTTGACCTGCAAAAGAACAGATTCATTCAGACATGCAGAAAATTCTGATCAGTAAAAAAATTATGCTCCTTTCTGAAATGTTATGCAAGACCTTCAGACAAAACAGAAGCAATTATGTGAGGTTTCAGCACATGGCCAAAGCAAACCACATTAAACAGAAAGCAAACAGGGACCTGCTGGTGCACACATACAGCATAAATGAGATAGCTATAAAAATCAGAACTAAACCAACCCCTCATCTTCATAAAGGTACTTGACAGTTCCCCAGAGAATAACAAACAGCATTGGCACACCTGAAAAGAGAGGAGACAAGGCTGACATTGACATTGAGACTGAGAAAAGCAGAGAGAAGAACAACTTTCTCTGCCCCCACCATAAAGATGAGCAACATAATTAACTGGTGTCAGGGTTGCAGCTCCTATCCAACACAGATTTCCATGAACAGTGGACTCCCACCTAGTTCTCAACAGGCATGAAAAATGAACAACACCAGTGCCCCGTAACAGGCATTCACCACTTCTTCTGTGGATATTTTCACAGAGAGGCCAAGGGAGTTAAATTTTTGGAAGCTCTACTAGCCTCTGTATTCATGGTAGAGAGGGGTGCAGTGTGTTCTGACCAAAACTTTTGTGCCTAAATTTCTGCTTGTGGGTCACCTACACTGTACTGAAGCAGGTCCAAGTTCAGACTGTCTATTGGTGTTGAGGCTGGAGCACGCCCAACCCTACATGCCTTCCATGGCAGAGTGAGTGTAGGCACACTCAGCAAGTGTCCTCCCTCACAGAGAAGTCCCAGTTCAGTCTGTGGAACTGGTGTGGACTTGAGTAGCTGCAGAAAACACAGAAGATGAAACTGGCAGTGAAGAGAGGCTTGGCCCTACCCTCACCTGACAGCACATATGCTATAGCTGGTCAGTTCATTTGGTGTGTAAAGGGCAGTGAGACACACCAAGTAAGTTGCCACACACTACCTGCTTTACAGTGAAGGCTCTCTAATTAACTTCTTTCATTTATGAAGAGCCTAGGTTATTAAAAACAATTTAAAGTGCATCTACCAACAAATACTCAGTACAGAGAATGATAAAAATGCACACAAGGAAGGAAACCAGATTGTGAGTCAAAATGCAAGGTGAGGAATTTCTGCTGAAGGATAGATCAAGACCATCTAATTCCTCCTTGGACGGTGTCTGATGCTTCATGTGCATTGTACAGAAAGAGCAACATTTAGCTTACTTTGTTACTTCATTCTTAAGAACCAGTAAAATAAGGGACCATAAGAACATCAGGCTGCAGCAGTTAGTTCTGTGCAGGGCAAATCCACAGTTAATGGCAGCAGAAGCCACTGGCAAATGGGTAATCTCCCACAGTCTGAATACCTCAAGCAGTATCTTTATTGGGTACTATCAGTCAAAAACCTTCACTGTTGTTGCACTATAGAACTTCTCTGCTATCAGAACAGCTAAATACTACAGACACTGAATAACAATAATATTCTCCTTAATCAGTTAATTAAAAAAAAAAATTAAAGGAGATAAGAAAGAGCAGCAAGGAAAAATTACCAATAATTAGAATAATAGCAAAGATAATGAATTGAATAGAGATTATTTGGGGCAAATAGCTGTTGTAGTGCATCTAAAAATCTTGATACCTCCCAAGGGTAAAACTCACCTCTGGTTTGTGTAATGTGAGTTCCTACCTGAGAACCTTCTTTCCCTTCCCCCTTCCCATTGGCTGTGACCTCCCTGCATCCCCTAATCACCCCTGCCCCCTGGTATAAGAGATGAGACCCAGAGCATTTCGGTCTCTCTCTTGCCCCGGATGGACGACAGACAATAAACCCGGGATTATTCCAGCAAGTTTGAGCCTCCTGTGTCTAGATACTTTGAGTCCGTGTTGTATCCACTCCAGGACCCCCTCGGCCGCCTGTGCCTTGAGACGAGCAGGCTCTCACCACGGGGGGTGGAACGGAGGGGTCCCATC